GAAAAAGGAGAGGGATTTTTGGCTAAAATCATCTTTTCAGATGAGGCACATTTTTACCTCAGTGGCCACGTCAATAAGCAAAACTGTAGGATTTGGGGTTCGGAGAATCCATACGAGATCCATGAACAACCTTTCCATGATCAAAAAGTAACAGTTTGTTGCGGATTATGGGCTGGTGGCGTCATTGGACGGGTCTTTTTCGAGGATGAAGAAGAAAAAACCGTTGCGGTCACCGCCGAACGTTATCGCGGTACGATAACGGATTAGTTTTGGTCGAAATTGGAAGTATTGATGCCAACGACCTTTGGTTCTAGCAAGACGGTGCACACAGCTCGCCAAACAATCCAGTTATTGGCAAAGAGATTTCCAGATCGCATTATTTCGATAAATTTCGACGTGAATTGGCTTCCAAGATCGTTCGACTTAACGCCACTGGACTATTTTCTCTGGAAATTTTTCTAAAGTAAAGTGTACGCGACTGCCCCACGCACTATTCAAGATATTAAGCGCAACATTCGCACCGAAATTACGGCTATGGAGCCGCTAATACTGCAAAGAGTCATCGAACATTTTGATGTTCGGTTAATGGCATGTGAACGGAGCCGCCGTTTTATTTAGATTAAAAAAAGAAGGAACGGATGGAACACCCTAAATTTTTGAATTATGAATGAGAGTTGTAACTGGCTCAGGGTTGTATGTTGGACAAGCCTGTGGCTAAACAGTCAGTCAGTCCTCAAAGCAACGACTGGAAACGGCAAACTGACCTAATAAGGAACTATATCTGTGGGTACGTCTATTTTCCAAATAGTGCATAACGACGAATGAGGCATAGGAAAAATATATATTCTTTCAAATACTCAAGCTGCACTTAAAACTTGATACCACCTCCTCTACATCGAAATAATCATGGAGTTGTAGACAAGTTCTCATAGGAATACCAGGATACACAGGAGACGTAGAGCCGACTCTCTGGCACTCGTTATATGGCCTGAGCCAGCAACCGGGATCGCGTACAATACAGGTAGACAAATAATCTCTGCAGATATGGTAGATCTATAACAGGGAGGGATCAAGAGGATTAACCCATGGCTATACTAATTTTAGCAAAGAAGGCAAGGAACTCACTGTTGCGTCTAAGGCCCGTATCGTCAGTCGTCTCTAGAATTGTAGGGCGCGTTTATGGCCTCCTTGATTGTCATAGCTTTCTACTTCTCCGTGTGAGCGCTCTATTTTGAGGTTATGTCACAAACATCTATTTGCATCAAACTGTGCTTGCTTTTGAGTTATATTATGTTTTATCAGCCTAAAATTTCCTACAATTCAAAAAGGAAACATATCTTTACAATAGGAGAGCGTTGACGCTGACACGGGACAAGTGTAATCTAGAAATTTTTGAAGGAGAGATGGAGGAGTATGACAATCAAGGAGGCCATAAACGCGCCCTACAATTGTAAGGACGACTGACGATACGAGCCTAAGAGCTTCAAGCCTTAGTGAGACTCTACATAGGTCACTGCATACTGCGTTATTAAAAAATGCCCAGAAGAGGCTAAGTGCAGACTGCATGGATTGAGACGAAGCGGTTCGGATGTCCTTCAGCTGTCAGTGCCAGATATAACACACTTGAGGGAGTATTGCTCCAAGTAGACTTGAAAGGTATTTCTTCAAATGAGCTGACCGACCTCCTTTGGACCCACAATAGACCAGTCAGTCACCGTGGAGGATCGCGATTGATCCACTCACAACAGAACCTAACTTTAGGATTGCGGTAGCAACGAAACTTTATGTTCAACGTCACGGTGGCATCAGTTCAATAAACATTTAGTCTAGTATGAATGGCGAAGAGTATAAGCCATAGACCTTTCAGATTACGTCACCAAATGAGTGTGCCATCATAGGAGCAGTCGATAACAAGCCCTTGAACACACAGTTACGCTTCCTTTGAGGTCAATTGAACGACATTCCGTAATCAACTCTTCTCAGAAGTAGCCTGCATCAGAAGATACGAGTACGTCATCACACCTGGCATATACGATTATTCGCATATACATATACGTGTGTTCTGATTACGCAATTATCCCGCACAATACCACATCTACCAGCTAAATGCAATCAGCACCCTCTATACAACCGTCGAACGTCTTAATTAAACGTGACGCGTCGCTCGACTGTCAAGGTGCTGGCGTGGCAGGCTTTTGTCTATTGATTAACAAACAGATCAGCGATAAGCGTATGTCAGCTTTAATTGGGATGTGTTGTCTACGTATATTGGATTTGGAAATGCGATGATTTTTGGAAACACCAAAAACAAGCTTTCGCGGCTGCTGTCACTGCTTTTTCTTGTTGCTGTTATGTGTCTCGAATTCATTGACAACAGAAAATCCGATTTAACAACATGGAGATAGACAATGGAGGTCAAAGTAATGATCCCCAGCGTCCCCGATGATGAATGGACCCAGCCAGAAGGTGAGAACAGAAATTAACATGAAATCAAAGGAATTGATGACACCAGCTGTAGCAGACGAAAAGGACAGAACCATGCAGCGCCAGACCCCTGATCATCGAAAGCCAGGCCCAGTCAATAACGGAGCTGACTGAGATCATGAAATCAAAGGAATTGATGACACCAGCTGTAGCAGACTAAAAGAACAGAACCAGCCAGCGCCAGAACCCTGATCATCGAAAGCCAGGCCCAGCCAATAAAGGAGATGACTGAGACCATGAAATCAAAGAAATTGATAACACCAGCTGTAGCAGACGAAAAGGACAGAACCATCCAGCGCCAGATCCTGATCATCGAAAGCCAGGCTAAGCAAATAACGGAGCTGACTGTGACAGTTAGGGACCAGTAAAATAGACTGCCTGACCACCCAGGTAACACAGTTAATCAATAATGCAAGTTTCAATTCTAAATCTGACAAGGCTGTCAATTTAGAAAGACCTCTTGAAAATTTAACTGACGTGACATCGACTGACGATGAAATACAGAATGACGGGTTCATCCAGGCTAAGTCTAGGAAAAGACGCATCGACAAAATGAACAAAACCGACAAAACGGATGACTTCCCACCTCTTCCAAAAGCAAAATCAAAATTCGTAGAATGGATCTCTACATAGAACGGTTTTTATTTTTTTACTCAAAAATGGCGCATCAAAGGAAAGCAACCCATAAAAGATCGTTTGTTTTAAATTGAACGGGGAATTAAAAAATAATTTTTACTTTGCAAAAAACCTTTGGCGTACCATTTTTTTCTTAAAAAATATTAAAATCAATACCCGTACGTACGCCACTGTTAAAGCTGCAAATTATTTTTGCATTGAAAAATATGCAACTTTATTAACTTTCACTACGTACTAAGTATCAGTGGAATATCTGAAGCGGTTCTGAAAATACTAACTAATTTCCCTTTTTTTCCTAAAGCTTCAACACCCCGAGTTTTTGTAAGAAAACATTTTTGGACCCTAGTTTATAAAGCAAACTAACATAAATTTTTCATGTAGATTCACACCCTTAAATATTCTCATAACATTAAGGAACACCCTGTATATTACATTTGAAATCGTACAATCAATGAATTATGAAATTTGGAATCCGTACACTATCATTAATAGAGACAAATTCAAATTACTGGTAAATGATCAAAATAGTAAAAAAAGGTTACGTGATTCTGGCACGGAACAATATATTTCAATATTAGCCTACTTTTTTGGGCATATTTCACTTCATATTTAATAGATGTCATAGTACTTGCCTCCAGACTCAATTACCTTATCATACGTACGAGTATCGTC